CGAACCCAAATTGGAGAAATGTGTCTTCACGGGATACCCAAAGGAGACTGTTGGGTACACCTTCTGTCACAGATCCAAAGGCAAAACATTCGTTGCTAAGAATTGATCCTTTCTAGAGAAGGAGTTTCTCTCGAAAAAGTGAGTGGGAGGAAAGTAGAACTTGATGAGGTAATTGTACCTTCTCCCTTATTGGAAAGTAGTTCATCACTGAAACCAGTTCCAGCGATTCCTACACCAGTAAGTGAGGAAGCTAATGATGATGATCATGAAACTTATGATCAAGTTACTACCGAACCTCGTAGGTCAACCAGAGTAAGATCCGCATCAGAGTGGTACGGTAATCATGTTCTGGAAGTCATGTTACTTGACCATGACGAACCTACAAACTATGAGGAAGCGATGATGAGCCCAGATTCCGCAAAATGGCTTGAGGCCATGAAATCTGAGATGGGATCCATGTATGAGAACGAAGTGTGGACTTTGGTTGACTTGCCCGTTGATCGGTAGGCCATAGAGAATAAATGGATCTTCGAGAAGAAGACTGACGATGTAATATTACAATCTACAAAGCTCGACTTGCTGCAAAAGGTTTTCGACAAGTTCAAGGAGTTGACTATGATGAGACTTTCTCACCCGTAGCGATGCTTAAGTCCGTCCGAATCATGTTAGCAATTGTTGCATTTTATGATTATGAAATTTGGCAAATGGATGTCAAAACTGCATTCCTTAATGGATATCTTAAAGAAGAGTTGTATATGATGCAACGAGAAGGTTTTGTCGATCCAAAAGGTGCTAACAAAGTGTGCAAGCTCCAGCGATCCATTTATGGACTGGTGCAAGCCTCTTGGAGTTGGAATATACGATTTGATAGTGTGATCAAAGCATATGGTTTTATACAGACTTTTGGAGAAGCCTGTATTTACAAGAAAATGAGTGGGAGCTATGTTGCATTTCTGATATTATATGTAGATGACATATTGTTGATCGGAAATGATACTGGATTCTAAATAGCATAAAAGGATACTTGAATAAGAATTTTTCAATGAAAGACCTCGGTGAAGCTGCTTATATATTGGGCATCAAGATCTATAGAGGTAGATCAAGACGCTTAATTGGACTTTCACAAAGCACATACCTTGATAAAGTTTTGAAGAAGTTCAAAATGGATCAAGCAAAGAAAGGATTCTTGCCTGTGTTATAAGGTGTGAAGTTGAGTTAGACTCAATGCCCGACCACTGTAGAAGATAAAGAGAAAATGAAAGGTGTTCCCTATGCTTCAGTCATAGGCTCTATCTTGTATGCAATGTTGTGTACCAGACCTGATGTGTGCCTTGCTATCAGTTTAGCAGGGAGGTACCAAAGTAATCCAGGAGTGGATCACTGGACAATGGTCAAGAACATCCTGAAATACCTGAAAAGGACTAACGATATGTTTCTTGTTTATGGAGGTGACAAAGAACTCGTCGTAAATGGTTACGTCCATGCAAGCTTTGACACTGATCCGGGTGACTCTAAGTCACAAACCAGATATGTATTTATATTGAACGGTGGAGCTGTCATTTGGTGCAGTTCTAAATAAAGTGTCGTGGCGGGATCTACGTGTGAAGCGGAGTACATAGCTGCTTCGGAAGCAGCAAATGAAGGAGTCTGGATGAAGGAGTTCATATCCGATCTAGGTGTCATACCTAGTGCAACGGGTCCAATGAAAATCTTTTTGACAATACTGGTGCAATTGCCTTGACAAAGGAATCCAGATTTCACAAGAGAACCAAGCACATCAAGAGACGCTTCAATTCCATCCGCGATCAAGTCAAGGAGGGAGACATAGAGATTTGCAAGATACATACGGATCTGAATGTTGCAGACCCATTGACTAAGCCTCTCTCACGAGCAAAACATGATCAGCACCAAGACTCCATGGGTGTTAGAATCATTACTGTGTAATCTAGATTATTGACTCTAGTGCAAGTGGGAGACTGAAGGAAATATGCCCTAGAGGCAATAATAAAGTTGTTATTTATATTTCCTTATATCATGATAAATATTTATTATTCATGCTAGAATTGTATTAACCGGAAACTTAGTACATGTGTGAATACATAGACAAACAGAGTGTCACTAGTATGCCTCTACTTGACTAGCTCGTTGAATCAAAGATGGTTAAGTTTCCTAGCCATAGACATGAGTTGTCATTTGATTAACAGGATCACATCATTAGAGAATGATGTGATTGACTTGACCCATTCCGTTAGCTTAGCACGATGATCGTTTAGTTTGTTGCTATTGCTTTCTCCATAACTTATACATGTTCCTATGACTATGAGATCATGCAACTCCCGAATACCGGAGAAACACTTTGTGTGCTACCAAACATCGCAACGTAACTAGGTGATTATAAAGGTGCTCTACAGGTGTCTCCAATGGTGTTTGTTGAGTTGGCATAGATCGAGACTAGGATTTGTCACTCTGATTGTCGGAGAGGTATCTCTGGGCCCTCTCGGTAATGCACATCAATATATGCCTTGCAAGCAATGTGACTAATGAGTTAGTTGTGGGATGTTGCATTACGGAACGAGTAAAGAGACTTGCCGGTAACGAGATTGAACTAGGTATTGAGATACCGACGATCGAATCTCTGGCAAGTAACATACCGATGACAAAGAGAACAACATATATCGTTATGCGGTTTGACCGATAAAGATCTTCGTAGAATATGTGGGTGCCAATATGAACATCCAGGTTCCGCTATTGGTTATTGACCGGAGACGTGTCTCGGTCATGTCTACATAGTTCTCGAACTCGTAGGGTCCGCACGCTTAATGTTCGGTGATGATCGATATTATGAGTTTATGTGTCTTGATGTACCGAAGGTAGTTCAGAGTCCTGGATGTGATCACGGACATGACGAGGAGTCTCGAAATGATTGAGACATAAAGATTGATATATTGGATGACTATATTCGGACACCGGATGAGTTCTGGTGGTCACCGGATAATTATCGGAGTGCCGAGAGGGTTATCGGAACCCCCGAGGGAACTAGTGGGCCAACATGGGCCTTGTGAGAGAGAGAGAAAGAGGAGGGGCCATAGGGCTGCCCCCCCCCCTTGGGAGTCTGAATTGGACAAGGAGGGGGGGCGGCGCCCCCTCTTTCCCTCCCTTTCTCCCTCTCTTTCCTTCTCCCTCATTCTTCCTAGTTGGACTAGGAAAGGGGGAGTCCTACTCCTACTAGGAGGAGGACTCCTCCCTCTCCTTGGCGCGCCCCAAGGCCGGCCGGCCGGCCTCCCCCCTTGCTCCTTTATATACAGGGGCAGGGGGCACCCTAGGACACACAAGTTGATTGTTTCCAGTCGTGTGCAGTGCCCCCCTCCACCATAATCCACCTCGGGCATATCCTAGCGGTGCTTAGGTGAAGCCCTGTTCTGGTAGCATCATCATCACCGTCATCACGCCGTCGTGCTGACAAAGCTCTCCCTCGACACTCTGCTGGATCGTGAGTTCGTGGGACGTCACCGAGTTGAACGTGTGCAGATCGCGGAGGTGCCGTACTTTCGGTACTAGGATTGGTCGATCGTGAAGACGTACGACTACATCAACCGCGTTGTCATAACGCTTCCGCTTACGGCCTACGAGGGTACGTAGATAACAGTCTCCCCTCTCGTTGCAATACATCACCATGATCTTGCGTGTGCGTCGGAATTTTTTTGAAATTACTACGTTCCCCAACATACCTTAGGGTTCAGGGTGGGGGCGATGGTAGCTGGTGGTGGTGAGGGCGGTGGTGGCCGGAGAAAAAACTTGGTGCGGGGAGCCCTAGTGGGATGGTTGGGGTGGCGGAAGACCGGCGGTGGGGGGGTGGTTTAGGGGAGGGCGGGGCGGCGAGGCGGTCGCGGGAGGCGGGGGCCGGCGGTTAGGGCTGGGCTGGATCGGCGGGTGAGTGAGAGGAAGAAGAGACGGGAGGTTGAAGACGAACAATGTAGGTTGAATTTTGATCTAACGGTTGAGACAGGAGGAAGAGAATCGACTGACCCTTTCTACAATTTCAATCGACTGTCGCCTAGCCTCTCCCAGAGATGAACCTATGACGAATCAAGTGCCCATATACATCTAGACATTGTACATTCCAGAAGATAGTGCCTCCATAAATCCTCAGCGCCACACATACCGCATGAACTCGTAGTTGATGTTTTCTGATGGCAATGCACGTCCTCAGTGGGCAATGTTTAGCTAATCTCCACAGAAACGTTCTAACTTATCCTATTCATGAGATAAATGTGCTCGATCCTGGTAATCCTTAGGGCTGCGATGCACGTGGGCTTCGATCTGATCAAAGAATAAATTGGCCCACAATCCAGAAATGGTTATGGTACAAAAATAGTTCTAATACTTCCTCCAAAAAGCAAAAAGTGAGGCTAAATTCAGTTACTACATACGCTCGTATAAGCAGCCGCTTCAGGCAGCTTGGAACACAGAGATAATTTATATATAAGATTTGAACATTTTTCTGTATATTGTTACATACACTCACCATCAGTTCCTTATCTGGATATGATCTATCTAAAGACAGGATCTCGAGAAAATGCGTTTGTAAAACTGCTGTTCCATTTTGTTGGCACACAAGCACAACACAGGTTCAGGTTTTGTTGACAACTTGACATACTCACACCTCATGTTAAGAATGAATGCTGGATCAGGTGATATTTTCTGCAATGTGCAAACGTTTCCCCAAGAAGTGAAAACAGAAGCCAGAAATAGACAGGAGCGGAAATCTTGATACAAATTCGAGAAAACTACACACCAATGTTCAACCTTCTTTATACAATACTAATGAGAAACCATACACGACCGTAGCGGATACAACACTCTGACACACAGCTCTTGCTGAATGGGAATTTCACTCCTGGCACAGTTTTAGCAGGTTTGAACAACGATTTCGGTGGTACATATAGCAGTAGTGATGGTGATGTATACATCTCCATATTTTACAACATCAGTGCCGCATTCTAAGCAGCAACTAGTGTGGTCACGGCCGGAACCTGGACTTGCCCTGGAGTGGCCAGCTGACTGATGTTCGCCGGACGAATCCGGCCGCTTGCGAGCCCGGCAGTCAGGTCCTCCACTTCCACTTTCAGCACGTCTCGGCGGTTGCCAATGTCACCTGCATACCTGCTGACACAGTACACCCCGACAGCCATCACCGCCACTCCATAGATGTTCGTGGTTACTAGGCGGAAAGGGGTCGAAACCACAGCAGCAAGAGGGCCGCCGATGATGGACACAGCCTGCCCACTCTGCCCGAGCCCGACGTTGCCTTGCTCAGCCACAAGCAGACCAGTCTTGCAGTATATAGCAAAGTCTTCGCAGTTGTTCTTGAACAGGCTGTAGCACCTGAAACCATTGGTCAACAAGTATTTGGCACGTCGGACAACCACCTCGTCAGGATCAGTGGCAGCAAGTGTGCAGGTCCCTCCTCGCACTTTGGCAAGGAAAAGTGCTGGGTTGACGTCATACTCGAAACGGTAGAGGGCACCCCCTGCCAGGAAACAGCTGAGGCAAGAGGAGGTTACACCATTTGTCTCCGCCACGGTGGTGGCTTCTTCGCTGCTGCATACCAAGCATGGCGTGGTGCTCCTAGTAGGGCCAGAACTCACAAGAAGAAAATCAATGACCGTTCCTGTTCCGACCTCTTGGTCCCTTCCTCTGGTAAAATGGATCACCTTATCATCGCCCACGTATATTCCTGCAGAGAAATATACGGTTATACGTGCACAAAGCTACAAGAGTGAAGCACCTATTGCAGTTCTGACAAATACACGAATAATTTCCAACATAGTGGCAACAGAGGTTTTGGCTACAGCTAGACTAATCATCTGTTTTTGCAATTTCATCACTTGATTTCATGGTAAGGATTACTCACATACACAAGCTGATGCCCCCTCTATATAGCACTCCCTCCGTTCACTATTATAAGATGTTCTAGCTTCTTTCTAAATCGGATGTATGTAGACACGTTTTAGTGTACTTGTTTACTCATTTCAGTCCCTATGTGGTCCACACTGAAATATCCCAAACACCTTATAATAGTGAACAGAGGGCGTATGGACTAAGTAAACATATGCTACACACAGCACATGTTTGCATTCACCCGTTGAAACTAGAGTGGCTGATGACAACCACATCTGTTATCCAGCCAATCAAAGCACTGCCAAGATCTAATTGTGGACACATCTGCATGCATCCCAGTTTAGTACTGAATCTCCTAATTACCTAAAATTGCCAAACGACAAAGATGTAATTTCCATCAAGAACTGTAGACACATGGCAATATAGACAGATTCATACTCTTCTCAATTCATTGACCCAAAACGTAAACCTATCAATTAACAACCGAAACGAAAACCTACACGGAAGCGAGTTAACACGCTTTAATCAGAACTGGAAATAATGATACTGGAAGGAGCAGATTTCACACCGTGATGCGCGTAGACCCACGCGGCCCTCCACGAGTAGATGTGATCCCCCGCCTTCAGGCTCTCCTTCCCGATCCTAACCGAACCAAACCGCAGAAAAAAAGGAACCAATCAATTCACCGATGCAGAGCAAATTAGAAGCCATTGCGGCAGCGCAGGGCATGAAATCGAAAGAATGGGGCGATTCGGAGCTGTACCTGTTCGACAGGAGACCCATGGAGACGGCGGAGGCGGCGGATCGGACGGCGAGCAGAGCAGGCGGCGGGCGGAGAGGAGGGCGAGGAAGAAGGAGAGGGGCGGAAGCGAGAAGGCGCCTTGCGCTCTGGAGTAAAGCACGAAAAAGTGGGAGGGGATCGGGGGGAATGGGCCGTAGGATCCACGAGACGCTGGCTGATCTCGTTTGACGCACACGCGTAACCGGTGCCTTTATCTTACGAACGACGGGATACTTCGTTTCGCACCCCTGGATTTCGCAATAATTAGTTAACGCTTCCTTGCAGGACTATTTGTGAGACTTTATTTTCTATACTATCATCTTTGAGTAGTCAAGTTTAATTTGGTTTCTTTTCACAAAATATTAATTTAATTTGACCAGTAGTATGCATTTTTGCAAGGCTAACTGGTTTTCAAATATGCGGTATGAGATAATTTTGATCTACCACAAATCGGATTCGTCATGGAAAGCACTTTGAAATTCAGTTAGTAACAATATTTGCTATGCTATAAAGACATTGCCTTCGTATTTTCGAACAGAGTCGAAACCACAACGGTTAACGGCGTCAAGCTCAGCCTTAACGCCGAAGGTTACCGAGGCCGCGTCAAACAAAACGATGATAATTAAGCCGAGCTGTTTTCAGCGGTCGGCCGCACGAGCGCTGTCGGCAGGAGCAGCGTCTGGAGCGCGTCTGCTCACCTCTCGCGAGCTGAAGCGCAGCCTATCCACGCAGAGCCCCTCGGTACGCGTGGCGTCGTCCTGGCGTGGCGGCTACCCAAGCCGAGTGAGCAAGCGAGCTGCACGCGTTTGCAGTCACATCTCGGCATAACCACAGGTCGACGTCGCCCAGTCCAAAGACTGCTTACCGACGTACGTACTACTATATCTCTGAAGAATACTCACCATGTGCTGGTTGTGACTTCATTACGTACGGAATTACGGAGCACGGTGTGACTTGGTGACAGCAGTCGATGCAGCGTGTCATCACAAGGTCCCCAAAAAGCAGCAAATCAAATAGCCAGAAAATATTAGCGGTAATCCCAGCAAAAGATGCCGGAGCACTGACAGCCACAGAAGTTTATACGGTACAAACAAACGAATGACCACAGAATGGGTCGGCTTGAGGCCAACTCCATCGCGCGACCCTATCCTGTACGGCCCCGTCCGTTTGAAATAAAACGGACAAAGAAGGCGGCCCAGCGCGCGACGGCTCGGACCCATCCTGTCTGTTTTGTGTCCGGGCCGACCCATTTCGAGCGCAAACTTGCGCCGGGTTTGGGTCGCGGCGGACACCAAACGGACGCGCGCTCGTCCGCGTCGGGGCCGCGTGGCAGGCGGCCACCTACCTCCCACCCGCCCACATCAATGCGCACGAGCGGGCGGCCCCACCTGTCATCCGCACGTCGAACGGTCGCCGTCCTTCTTTAAGTGGGAAGCGTGGACGGGTCGTCGTCCACACCGCCCCACGCCACCCCGCGGCCTCCTCGAAACCCGACAGCGCCGAAACCCTAGCTGAAGCCCTCGAGCTCGCCGACCGCCCACCTCGCCATGGGGTTCTGGAATGGCAAGGGCAAGCATGACCGTGAGGCCGGCTCCTCCTCGGGGCGCCGCCGCGGCTCCGTGAAGAAGGAGGAGCCCGCGTCACCGCCGCGCTCCTCCCGTCGAGCCCCCGTCCCGGCCCCCTTCACCATCAACCCTAGGCCCGCCGGCGAGCGCGACCGGCAGTACCTCGCGGCGGACGTGTGCCGGAGGTACTGGGAGACGAGGACGCCGGTCCTGTGGAGTGACGTCCACCTCCCCAACGGATGGCACCTCAGCGCCGACCGGGTCCCGATCCCTCCTGTGCCGGCGAGCGGCCGCGCGCGCCGCGATGAGATCGAGCGCCGCCGCCTCCTCCTCCCGGACGACCTGTTCTACGACGACAGGTACGGCCCGGATTCCGACCTCTGGGACACGTGGCTCCAGGACAAACACGACACGCGCCGCGCGTCATACTTTGCCGACACGGTGTCGGGGCCGCGGCGGCCACGTCGAGAGGTGCGCGGGCGTACGCGCGTGCGCGGCGTCACGCCCACGCCGTCGCCTTCTCCGTCGCCCCCTCCACCTCCTCGCATGTCAGCGGAGGAGGAGGCCCGTCTCCTCAAGCGTGTCATGGACGACTCCATGTACACGCACGACGAACGGCAGTGAGACGGCTTGGAGGAGGCCATGGCCCTCTCTGCCACCGGGGACGTCGCCTTCCCGGAGCTGCAGATGGTGGCCGTGGAGGAGGAGAGGAGGGAGGACCCGCCGGCCGCGTTCCAGCAGCTGCTGGGCCAGGGGTGGGGCTGGTCCTGCACTGCTCCGGAGATGGCCGCCGGCGTGGGCGTGAACTGGTGCCCCACTCCGCCGCGGTCACCGGAGCGGGAGGCGTCGCCACAGGAGGAGGTGGTGCAGGCACCTCCGGCCGTCCAGCCCGACCCCGTCCACCACGCACCTCCGGCCCACCTGTGGACGCCACCGGCCTACGTCGACCTCGTCAGCGACGACGACGACACCGACGGCCAGTGAAGACGGCGACGGCCACGGCACCGACGGGCGCGGCAGGAGCGCGCGGGAGGCGGAGGCGTTTTTTATTTTGTTTTATATGTTAATTATGAAAACTGGGCCTTTTAAGTGGCTGTGGAAACTGGACCGTTTTGTGGCCGTCCCTTATATATGTTTTATGTTTTTTTTAAATGCTTTTATTTAGTTTTTTAGTTATTTCATTCTAGTTTTTTATTCACGTCCATTTCGGACACTATTTGGGGTGCGCGCGCGACCTATCTGACAAAGACGGACACGGGCGAACCCATCGGCACTCCAAAGGGACAAAATTCGACCAATCCAGACGTCCGTTTAGAGTCGTGCGGTGGAGTTGGTCTGAGGACGTCCAGTCTGCCAATGCAAAAGGGACGCAAGAAACAATTGTGGAGCGTATGATAGCTGCAGAACGAGCAGACATGGCGTAGGAATTTCGCAAAAAAAAAAAAGAAGAGAGATGGCGTGGGAAACGAATATGCGGGTACGATGCGATGCGATGCAAAGGGGGGCTGGATGAGGTGAGACGCCGTCGCTTCCGTCCGTCCGTCCGTCCGTCCGTCCATGAAGGGATCGATTCTTTGGAGGCTGTATTTCTCGGTAGCACCACCCTGCTTTTGCAACAGATATATATGATCTCTTTATTAATCCAACGGACGGGATGCAACAAACATATTCTCAGTTCAACAAACTGCTCAAGAAAATGTCTGGTTTCATTCATTCTCTTAAACGACAAAGGAAAAAAAAAACTCTTAATGCTCATCTACATGAGCTGCGTCACTCTTTTCTTGACAGTGCGATTTAATTCCGAGAATACAAACCATGACATGATTCGAGACCGAGGTTCGTCGTTTGCCGCTGCGTCGAAGAAGAGACGTAACGCGTCCTTAAATGTCCTTCAAGAAGGGAATGGATTCTTTCCAGCGTTTCTTCGTGACGTCGACAGCTTCCATGGTGTACTTCTCATCCTCGGGATAGTATGCGATTGGGTCGTCCAGCAATGGGGCCTCAAGATTCAGAACGCCTTCTAGTGTCGCATGCAGACAATATGCTGAATAACTGATGTGGTAACCCCCTTCCTGGACAATCAACATTTGCCCATCGCTATGTCGATTAGCCACGCCCCTCATTATTTGTCCAATTTTCCTGTAACCATCCATGGTCAAGCACTGTCTTCCATTTGGATCAAACTGCATGGAGAAAATTCACAATTAGTTCGTCCAACGGAGTCATATAATTCAAGGCAGAAGATTATCATGCATGCAACATTACCTCAATCTTCAAGGTACAATTGCTACCATTTGATTTAGTTCTAAAACCACGACACTTATTTTGGATCGGAGGGAGTAATATTTTACGTTTAGTATATAACTTCCGTCCCACAGTATAGATTATCCAAAATGAATGATAATAAATCTAGATAGTAAACATACATTTAGCGCAAGTATATTTATTATCTTCCTTAGTATGAAGTTTATATAGTCCCACAGTCCCACACTGTGTTATACAAGATGGCAAGTAGGGGAACTGGGCCTTGCTCAGCTGGTGGGAGGTGCGGCTGCTAACGATGTTTGAATTCTCCACTTGAATTCGGGTGCCTATTTCTTATGTCAACAAAAAGTCACTTAGTTCCTATAGGAAATCTAGTTATTTTCACAACATGCTATGTGATACACTGATACCTATATTTTTTAACTTCACAATATATTTCAATTGCTAAAATGTGAATTTATCTTCTTGAGAGAAAAAAGAATACGAAACTGGACATGATTTAGCAGGATTGACAAGTAGAACATGTAGTGAACTAAGGACAACAAATAAGCATACTCAGCTCACCATGCTAGAATCTTGGCCAATGACAAAAACCAAAAGCTGAGGTTGAAACTTGTCAATCGCCGGGACAACCAATTCATTCATTGCATACTCATAGCCTTTATCCCCACTGCCATTAGGCAAAGGTATATTGAGATTGTACCCAAGCCCCTTGCCTTCCCCAATCTCATCAGCCGAGCCACTCTGCAGATGCGAAGGACCCCAAGTACCATGCTTCATGTGAAGAGAGATTGCCAACACGTTGTCCGTGCGATAGAAGCCCTCTGCGGTACCATTTCCATAGTGCACATCTATGTCAACAACGGCAACCTTTGCGCGGCCAGAATCCAGAGCCAGCTGCACAGCAAGCCCGGCGTTGTTCAGAAAGCAGTAACCGTCGGCATGGTCCGGCTGCGCGTGATGGCCAGGGGGGCGGACCAATGCGTAGGCTATCTTCCCATGCCCGTCTAGTATGTGCCTCACAGCTGATAAGGTTGTTCCGGCAGCCAGAAGCGCAGCGCCCCATGAACCAGAGTTCAAGAAAGTACCCTCACATAACTTCTTGGGTCCACTGGCATTCGCCTGCACGAGCTCCTCAATGTATTCTGAAGATCACAACAAGATTAAGGGTC